AAAACGCTGGCAAAGCCCAAGTGAACATAGTGATGTTAGGGACTTACTGTTATTTCTACCAATGCACCACGCAAAAGTACAGCTTGATCATGTTGCGATAACTGATTGAACTCGCCAAGGCAACTGGCAAAATAATGAGCAAACTGCAGCTGAGCAGAGCAGAACAGCTGCTCGACAGAACCAATAACCGTGAGTTCACCCTTCGCACCTACGTGGTGACCCTAAACGCAAAGTGAAAGATGGGGAGAAAATGATGCTGAAAATTACGGGCAAACTAGCAGATTGAAATATGAGCTGGCGAGGTTTATTCCAATTGGGAATCACGGTTCCCAGACCGCGGTGGCGGCTGATAGCGAAGCATCGCAACAATGGGCAACAAATATCAGCAGAAGATGAGAAAAAGATAAACAGCAACTTACAAATTGCACGCAGTTAGACCCAGAAGCAAGAACTGATGCCATTTAATTCAGCTTTTCACAGCCTTTGACAGCCTGGATCACCTCGCTGCTCTCCATAGGCTCGAAAGCTAAAGCATTGGATATCCTATTATCAGTGAATAGGAAGTTTTCTGCAGCAGTGGCAGCCGTAGGTTAGAGTGCGCAGTGCCAGACTCATGGCGAGTGCAAAGTTCCACAAGGATCAAGGTTGTAGCTCCACCTATTCCTCGTAGACAGTAACAACATCGCGGGTGTGTGTGCCCCAAAATTCTTACTGTCAGCGATGACTAAGGAAATACGACCCATTTCTAGGTTATTTCAGTGGTTATTCAGGAAATTGCTCAGTTAATGTGCCTAAATTTGAGACTGCTCACAGCCAAGCAGCACACGTTTGCTCCGAGACAGAGTCATGAAGGAGGCCTCCAAGAAACGCGACTTTATGGTCCAGCTCCGGACGACCTCGGTCGTTGGAAGCAATCCGAGGTATCAAAGACCAGGAATCAACATGTTGGTCCTCTGCGTATGAAATTCAAACGGTTTGCTAACAGATGTCCATGATATACCTGCGGCCACAAGCGCAATAGGCTAAGGCCGGTTAACCTAACAGAAGCAACATTTCGATGAGCTCGACACTACACAGTGAAGATCAACCAACCACATCAAAGGACTGTACCACGTGACAACAACTCAGGCTGAGGGCCCAAAGAACGTACCGAAGTCAGTATCGGTGGCTAAGTGACCTTATAATGAACAACCAGATCACAAGAAACGCCAACCAGGTTTATCGCTACCTTTCGGAAACTGGTCGAAATGCGGATCTGTGAGTCAAACATCTTAAGTTGGCCATGTAACATGGCCGGTTGGATGTCACTTCCCGTCACATGGGACGCCTTTCCTAAGTATGTAGTTTCTGTCCTCAGATCAGTTGTGTTCAAAAAGACACCCCAATCTACCTACGCAATGCAACATAGCCAGTGTGTAAGGTGGCAAACTGTGTGCTCATCAGCATTCCCCACACATGATCGAGGTAGGCCACTTTACGTGTGTCATTGCGTGAACATAATAATGAGTCCGTCAGAACACCCTCAATTTCGCCGTCACGTTTTCTTTTTCCATTTTTGGGGTTCTCATCCTGATTATCACATGTGATTTGGTAAACACTGGTTTCTTCGTCCGTGTACGTGTGTAACACCAATGAGGTAGAGGCGTGATAGCAAATAGGTTACGCCCCCTTCGTGCATCAGCTTGGTAAATGTAGCGGGCCCAACGGAAGTCGGCTATGCTCTAGGGGGTCCCTTAAGTGCACAGCAATGAAAAACTGCGAATTTGTCCATGCAGTCAATTAGTTTTCGGGGTGCAACACCGAAATGGGAGTGACAGGTGCCACGAATAACAGAAGCTGCAATGGCGTATAGGTGCCCCATTCACGTCCAGTCATTTGCAATCACATATGCACCAAAACATGAACAGAAAATGCTGCTCAGCCCTGTTGCAGCAAAAGCATGACAAAGTTAACGTGAGCAACCCACCACCTGTCATGAAGTATACCCATCAATTTAGTTCAAAACTTAATGACCGAGATTGGATACAAACACCATGCAATCGAGCGGGTAGCTATGCTCGGATGTCACAATAGTTGCCAAACTGACGAAAGTGGAAGCGTATCAGACGTGCTTGCGTTCATGAAGCGAAGCTTAATGAGAGATGGAAAGGATCCGTGAGGTGAAACGGTCACCGCAAGTCGCATTGTAAGGGAAGGAGGGTGCGGTAAGCAGAAATCGAATAGGCTTCACACAAGTTCATAGACTGTAGAACGCTGCCATTTTCGTGATAGTCAGTGGTAATGAGAACGAGCGATGTGCGGGCGAGGAGGAAAACAACGTGAAGGGAGAAAAACGCGCGAGGTGTTGAAGGCTGTCATCTGGTAGTAACTGCTTTCCTAACGCAAGCTCGCATGTGGCTTAGTAAATCGCCGGTAAAAGAAGTGGTAGAAGCGACCAGCCAGAAGTGTAAGAGACCGCAATGGGATATCAGTGTGACTACGTCACTAGACTAAATATAACGGACTAGTAGGGGAAGTGTGAGACCGGGAATGCTAACCGTCCAAATGAATAGGCGCGAATGCAATTACAAATGTGTCAGCGAAATCATAAGCCTCGAACTCCAAGGGCTCGAAAACCAAGGGTTTGAATGTTCATGCAAGGTAACAAGCGTCAAGAGAAGGTTGACAAGGATCGAGAATGTTAATCACACTAAGGATATCATTTTTCCCTACATCCTCCAACAACTGTTAACACAAACACATGGAAACGAATGTATAGCAATGCAAACCGTGTACAATTCAACAAATAATGAAGAGAGGAAATCTCAGGAGGATTTAACGAACCGAGGCATGCAATGTGCCAAGCATACGACATGGAGAAGAAAGGCGATGAGTTGGATAAAAAAAAGCAGTGGTCATGTTCTGTTTGTGGGTCGACGATTATAATCATCAGCAACTTACACTTAGTCCGGAGCAGGAGAGATCTGAGGTAAGTCCTAAATAACTCAAAAATAAGAGGAAGAGCTTTACCACTGGCAATAAAAACACTATTGAAAATGTAGCTATTGTGCAAGTACTAGGCGACATCGGTTACGCAGTTTTCCTTCGTAGAGCGGTGTCAAGCATAACGACCTACCTCACCACAAATATATGAAATGGAACAGGCAATCCAGGTAGGGGGCAACAGCAAATGTACCAACAATTGCGAAACAGCCAGGAAGGCGAGCCGGATCAACAATATGCAGTCTAGTCGTCGGTAGCTCCATTTCAAACACCAAGTCAACAAATGTCCCACTGAGGGCATAGCGAACCAGTCGAAGCAAGACAAGGCCATCTTCGATAAGTGATGGGGGATCGTATAGGTAGCGCGTGTCAGAATTGACACAAAAGTTCTCCATTTCACTCATTGGTTCAACAAATTAGGCTAATCAGCATCGCTTAGTAAGCGCCTATGCATCTCACGTTGGTTCCCCACTCCATATCAGCAGTGTTCCACAGTGAGCGACCGTCAGACACCTAAAGTAGTCGGACAACTTCAGACAGAAACAATAAATTCGCACTATTGTAGAGAACGGTGCTGCATACGTGGCCTTTAAAATCAAGAGAAATCCTCTGGTACCAAATATGCGGGAGGATTCATAAAAGCAGTCATAGCTTTCGCGATAAGCCATTAGTAGTAGCAGCACATTCACAAGCTTGTATACAGACAACGTGCCATCAGAACCATGGCAAAAGGGAAGACAATAAGCACACGAAAGAAAACAAGAGATAAGACTTTTTTGGTTTCACACACGCCGTTCTGCTCTTTTCAAATATATAAATACACACTTCAGATTAAACAACAGACAAAACGGCACAATCACACCGGTGCCACTGATGACTGTTATGTGCCATCACAGTAATCGTATGCAAACACAGGATTTCTGAGTCGGGTGATCTCCAACCTGGGAGGCGCACTGATCCGACTCATGCTAAGCTTGAGGCTGCTTTCTTCATGCTTCTTTTCGACGTCATTGGTTGTCCCACACGATAGTTCTTCCAATCGCTTCAGGGAAGCAAAAATAACGCTCGCCGGGGAAAACGATAGGCTGGCATTCACAGTATGTGGCCGAAACAACGCATGCGGTGTCAGAGGATAACGTTTTGAAGGCTGGGAGTGTACGCTCCAAGCATTCGTTCACGAACCTCCGTATTGCTTATATGATGTTGCCACCACACACGAGCAATCCACCGTACACCACGGTGGTCAAAAACTGACAGTCGTTTCACGTCTTTCGAGCGAACAGGCCAGGTCTCACAGCCGTAAAGCATGACCGTACGGACAGAAGCATCGTACACCCTGCCCTTGAATTTGTGACTGACGTCACGATGACGCCATAGGTATCTCAGTTTGTTGAAAGCAAGGCGAGCTTTTGCAATGCGCTGTGATATCTCATCTTCAACCCCGCCACCAGTCGTGATGAGACTCCCGAGATAAGTGAAGCGATAACTAAAGTGTGCGATAAGCAAAGAAACTTCAGCAGTCACGCCACTACCAGTACCTATACGGTTGACAAGATAGGTGAATCGACCACCCTCAGCTCACTGTAGTTACGGTTTGGGGACTGTTAGGTGGTTGTCAAGCGGCACACTACGCTCCAACGGGGAAGAAACATGCCAACCGATGGAGCCACGCAAGATGGTGTAGTTAAGATGGACGGTAACATGTTGAAATGAACGAAAAGCAAAGCCAAATCACAGGAGACTCCGCACATGTCGTGATCTGGCGACGGGGTATACGATAAAAGTGGACTAGAGATAAGAACGAAACAACTGTGACGAACACCAGCTGTTGGTGTTTAACAATCTACGGAAAACGTCGGATGATCAAATATGTTATAGGAAGATATTTCTAATTAAGTTAAACAGATCAGCTCCACATGTGGCGCTGCTCCAGAACTTACGGCCGCAGTCGAAACACAGTAGATTATTATCTCATTAGAGATTTCCATCACATAAATGTAGGAAAAATTTTTCTTTTTGCGCCTTCTGATCACATGCAAACGAGCGACATTTAATGATCACGAAAAAGGAAATCAATGAGTTAAATGGTGCCAGTGGCGTTTACGGTACCAGTCGGTTAACCAAACGATTTAATTCTGTTATGCACAGAGAAGGTACATTTCTTATTCGAAGGCGAGTCCTACCGACAATTGGACGGCGCTGCAATGGGAAGTCCACTGGGTCCCACGATTGCAGACATTTTCATGTCAATGGTTGAGGCACGCTGTGACTCACACTTCGACCAGATGTGTCTTTACAAGCGAAACGTTGACGATACGCTAGTGATCGCCCCCAATATCAATGCCGCCCAACGTCTTCTCGAGGTGATGAACAATGCACACCTGAACGCTCAGTTTACATATGACTTAGAGAACAACAACTGTCTGCCTTTTTTGGATGTAGTTTTGACTAGAACTGACGACTGCTCGATAGAAGGTTCTGTCTACCGGAAAGCCACTTGGACGAGACTTTACGAAAACTTCAGCAGTTTCACACCCGTCCGGTACTAGGGTTGCCTCGTCAAAACGCTGTTCCAACGAGCTCGTAAAATATGCAGTCCTGAATGTGTCGAAGCTGAATTGCAGTTCATCACACAGACGCTAGAGGCAAATGGCTACCCGACAGCGTTTGTTAAGTTTCACAGTCGCACGACGGAAGGGAACAAACAAAACCCCTTACAGTGTCGAAAATGCCCGCCTATCTCCAATCGCAATTCAAAGGGGATGATGTGGCTGCGCAAGTTGAGCGTCGTGTTGCCACAGCAATTCGACGTACATTCAGTGCTGCAAAACTGTGCCCAATTTGGATTACCAGTAAGTTATCAACGCCTCAGGTTAAGCAAACGCAATCGGTCTCTGCCACAACATACTGCATCTTCATCTTTGTCTGTAACTATGGAAGCAGTTACATCGGCAGAACAGACCGGTGTCTGCGCAAGCGGATCGGTGAGCACATCCCGAAATGGGTTGCTACAAGTGTGGCAAAACAATCGCAGGGACAAGAGTCAAGATCCAAATTGCCGGCCTCTTCGATAGCCAGATATCTACTTAGAACGGGGCACCAAAATGATTCTAACTTGGCGTTTACGGTTATCTACCGTAATGAAAAAGCCAAGATACTCAAGCTCGCGGAGGCTGTGGCAAGTAATCACAGCCGTGCGGACCTGTGTGCGCAAAAACAGTTGACTGTCAGCCTCAAGCTTCCTTGGGGATAGTGACACTTGTCTCAAACGTTGTGATTCTGTTTTAGTTTCTACCCTTATGTTTCTTGCATTCCCATTTCGACATGATTCAAACCATTGATTTTCCCCTTTCGTGATCGTTAAATGCCGCTCGTTTGCATTTGATGAGAAAGCGCAAAATGACATCATGGTGCAACACCTGTCTTGTCATTGTATTATTTAGATTGATAAAGGGAACCCAGTGCTTCAAATTTTGCTTTAGCATTTGCTAACAAACCACTTAATATCAAGCAATGAAGGTGCGACTTTGATTGATGGCGAGCATACCAACACAACAACAGTTAACCCAAGCTCATGGCATTTGAGTGATTGTCATGCCGCCTTGGGCACATAGTTGTTGATTCATAAAACGAGCAAGGTGTCGAACGCGGAAGCTGGCCTAGAAGTTCCCAGCACATGGACTCAAATATTGGTTGTGCTATGGCCCTACTGTTTACAAGATTGAAAACCCAAGGATCACGAGTATTTTTGGTTGGAGCCTTTCGAACATAGCCTAGAACTTTAGACAGTAGTGGCCATACTGCGAGATCTTTCCCTCTAATAATCCCTTCCGTTTCTTTTAATGGATCATAAGAAAATCCTTCAATCCGGATAAAATGGTGATGAACGGATCATTTAGCGGTAACCTCATCACCAAATTGAACAGAGAAAACAAAAGAGAACAGGCCAACAGGGATCATTGCATGGCTGCGAAACAAACACTAGAAATTTGACAAGTAGCAATTGAGATATGGCAAACGAAAATGAAAAACTCACTTCACCACCACTCTCGATGATTGCTTGCTTCCTGCTAGCGTGGAATAACTCAAACAGACTGGTAATCATTCTCCGGTCGTCAATAGAAAGTGGTGGCATAATAGTTGGACTCGTGAATGAAGGCCTCTCGGATGGTGTCAGGGGTGCCTGAGGTCGTTCGGGTGTTGTGTGTTGCGGAACAGGAAGAGGATCGTTATCGCGGGAGATGTGTAAATCGCTCGGGTTAGTTATCTGGAAACCGACTCCTATGGGACCACCTTTTCTAATTGTGCGAGCATTGGTGGGTCTCACCTTTGCGCGACGAAGAGGAGATACTTTCTCATCGGAGTCAAACTTTTTGCGAACGGCTTCATATCGGTGAGAAGGGAAAGTAAAGCAAAACATATGAAAGGAACATGCAGGTGCCAAGATAGTAAAAAATAATGCTACGAACATATATGCTGATTTATGAGAAAAATCACAAGTTCAAAACTTCAAGTGGGAGGCTGAAATGCAACACCGAAGAAGGGGTGTAAAAATCGCATGTACGACGAAGTGACAGCAGATTAGATGCATGGAAGATGTGACGCAGAGTTCCAAAGGGTACCGACAACCATGTAGTGATCACCGAAGACCGTGAAGAATCCAAAGCAACGATTATGAAAATAGTGATAAGCGTGGGAATCTTGTATTTTCACTGAATCCTTCACAGCAGCTTACATGCCAGATAGCCTTACCATCCAATCAGGAAAGCACCAAACGGCCGTCTAGCCCTATTAATGCGCATTACCTCGGTCCCCTATATGGAACCGAACCCATGACCGCTATCGACTTGTCTACTAACCAGCAGCGTATGCTAAGCCATGAGGAAAGGTGGCAGACCATCACGAGTTGCGCAACCTATCGTTCACTGTAATTATAGCAATAGGCTACAAAAACAATGCTGAAGTATGCTACCCATATAAGCTCAATACTGGTACTGGGAACGTAGCAAATAGAAACAAATACCAAGGTAGCAGCAGCATGGGAACCTCTTTGAGTGAGTAGACAAATAAGAGTGAGATTCCACGAAGTTCGGCAATGCTGCAAAGTCAGTCAGGTGAGTCAACAGGCCGAACTAAGCGAGGTCTATATATTGCAGGGCATCTTGGTTTGTTTCTGGTGGTGGGACAGTAAGCGGACGACTGACCGAGGTGCAATCACTCATTTTAGCGAACCAATCAAGCAACGGACGGGAAACGTACGCTAACTAGCAGAAATGAGTAGGTGAAGCGCGTGGCCGGACCTAAGCAGTTTTGGAATGATGTTGAATCCAGTCCAAACTGCCCTTTAATGTGTCCGAGTAAATATTCTAAAGCACCCGAAAGTTGTACCAATGCTTTGATGTTATACAAAAGTAAATACACTGGGAGTATGGAGTGTGAAGAGGGCAAGTCAAAAGCTAACGCAAAAAGCTCACCGGTTGTGAAAGACAATCTTAGTTTCCTGCACCGTCCCGAATCAGAAAAGTTTATCGCAGACATGCAAGAAACAGGAAATTAAATTATTTAGCTTAATGCAATTAGATTATAAGCTAGACAGGCAAATTACCAATCCGGAAGAACACCAGACGACCGTTTGCTTATTTATTCGCCGAGCTTGACAAATTGGTTACAACTAAATTGCCAAACCCGAAGAAAAAATGAACAACTGAGTCGTCAACACAAAGTATAAGTAAGCGAAAGATTTTAACCAGCCATCATCATCATCATCAATACATGCTAGATGAGGGTGAAAAACACGCCTCAGCTGATGTGCCGCAATACGACAAAAGAGAAGGGATTAAACAATACATACAATAAAAGTTAAAATAGTAACAAAATGCTAAATATCACACTATACATTGGGTTTGAAATCGATGTTGGAAGGGTAAGTTAAAGGAGAGAAGAGGGATTAAGGAGATTGATAAAACAGACGTCATTGAGGTCGGACTTTCGTCATGTCAGCTTGTGCATCTAACCCAACGGGTACATGGTTCTTGGGACCTCAGCCAGGCAGTCGGCATGCACCAACCGACGCCAAATTCGAAGTGAGGGTTTTCATTTCTCTTTGACTAAGCCATCGCTTGGCCTCCCTCCCTCTTCCTCCATCCACATCCTGGTCGTGCAAACGACGCACGTCGCGGAAGTCGGAATGCTGGCATGTGCAACATGTGGCCAAGCCATCGGAGTCTGATGTGTGAAATAACGGTGCTGAGCTGTTTACTTCCTCTCCCTGCACCAAATACGCTACTCCGAACACGTATTGCACACAAAGTGTCCCCACCAGACATGAGCTAAGCTGCGAAGGCAGCGATGGTTGAACATAACCAGCCTCTTTATATTGGCTGATCTAATGGGCCAGGTTTCGCAACCGTACATGAGGGTTGAACGGATGGTTGCATTGTAAACTCTGCCTTCAGTGTGAAAGTGATGTCATGCCAATACTATAGGTGGAGGCGATTGGCAAAAGCGCCTCAAGCTTTCACTATACGGTTCGTGACTTCATCTTCAATCCCAAGGGCGCTAATATAGTTGCCCAAATTTTAAACTTCTGGACGGCTCCTAGCTGATCACTGCAAAGGGTCAGCACAGGAGTGGATCCCTGCCAGTTTTGGAGAAGGACTTTCCATTTTGACGGTGCAAAGCATCGCCCGAAACGATTGAAAACCATAGCTAATTTATCCAGAAAGTTTGGCAGGTTTGTGAGCTGTCACAAATGAGCACAATGTCGTCAGTATATTCCAAGTCAAGAAGTCGGTCACCTTGGAGTAGCTACACACCTAAGTCGTGTCCGGCGAACACCGTTGCCATGACTTCGTCAATGACGAAGTTAAAGAGGAAAGATGAAAGCTGGCATCCCTGTCTTATACCACTAGATCTACTGCAGAGCGGCATTAGCTTGCCGTAAGACCGAGCTACATGCGTAAAGCGCTTGGATAATATTCAAACACTTCTCGGGCACATCTTCCCTCAGTAGACAGTCCCAAAGGGCACTGCCCCTGTAGCCTTATTCAATTCCAACCGTCTGATCTCACATTCGATCTCTGCGTGTGATGGCGGATCTACGGGGACGGTCCAGGGAGAAGGGCGATCATCGGCCGATGGAGAATCTGACAACTCTGACTGATTGAACTGCGACAAAGTGTCCGGCCCAACATTTCTCGTATCAGACGGAATAAGATTAGATGGTTACCAAGGGCAGCGGCAGTCTTCATTTTCGAGGCACAATGAGAGCGCCACGCTTTGCCGTCTCTCTTCAGGCTAGCACGCAGTTTCGCCCTGAGATCTTTGCGAGTCTATTTGTATTCGCTTACAGCAGAGACGCATCGGCGAACATCCATAAATTCCAGTGTAGAGACTCAATGTCCACATTGGCGATTTGATTTGTCACCTGTAGACATGTCTGCTGCCAATAAAATCTGGCGGATTTGTGACCAGTGATCTTCAAACTGTGTTCAGTGAGCGCTTACTCAGCTCGGATGTCAGCGCACTTCGATGCGCATCTAGAGCTTCTGACTTCGTTAGCTGGCAAGTAGTTATGCGCCCACAACACCATTGCGGACGTCAGTTGAAGCACACCAGAAAGTCCGCGCAAACAAGTGCGTAATCAGAGTCCGCGCTTGTAGTCAAAATCGAGAGAGTTTTGAACACAGCCCCTCCGACGGTAACTGATCGCGATGTGATCGATTCGCTTCCACGGCTGATGGGCGTCATTTCACCCTCCGGCGGGTGCTGTGTCGGAAGTTATTGCTCGAGAGAAAGAGACGAGCATCTTCATACAGGTGTAGCATCTGCTCACCATTATCATTACGGGAGCCTACACAGTGTTGGTCGCCTAGATGAAGCTCATCAGTGGACAGTATTCCAACTTGGGCGTTCAAATCACCAGTAAGCACCATAGTATATTCATATTTTTCGCTGTAATGGAGAAGATCGTTAAGTGGGTGACAGAAGTCGTGTTTCACCGAGTCAGCGGTATTATTTGTGGGCGCACAGGCCGCAATGACAAACAGGCACCGTTTGTCTTCTTGCGACTTCGATGCATTGAAAAAGTCAGAAAATTTGACACTGCACATCCAGCTGTTGATCGGGACCCAATCGATCGGGGCAGGTTAGACCCGCGAGCCAAGAGCAATGCCCATACCGGTTTGAGCGGCATTTGAGGTCGCGTCATCTCCGGACAAGCGCAATGAGAAAATATCGCCAGCGTTGCAGGGTAAGTACAGAACTCGAATCTTGCAGGCGAGTTTCTGGTAATCAGCAAGTGCTGCCTGTTGCCCAATATGCAACAAAGTGAGCACATTGAAGCGTGCCAGTTTTAGAGAGGATCGAGGGCTCCAAGCAGCAGATGAACTGACTTTGTCCGTTTGGATGGACATGAAGTTGTCGACTGGACCGGAGTGACACCCTGCGATTATGTGAGTCAAAACCAGAAGATAAACGATTACCGAACCAAGATGGAGGAGGGCCAAGAATTGTGAGGTTGAAAACAGGGGGATAAAAGTGAAGTTGGAACGGGATGTTAAGGATGAAAAGGCTTAAAACAGGGAAGAAGAAGACAGGAAGGCTTGAGTAGTAATACCCTCACCCTTATCCAATCTGCTCGATGCAGCAGATAAGGCACCGTTGATTATCCTTTGCAGCGGCCAGAGCATCCGGAAAATGTTTGACGACCGTTTCGTCTCCTTTGAACTCGTAAGTGGTTGCACATTTTTGTGGAACAAAGGCTCAAACAGTCGTTTGGTGCTTTTCCGGACTGGTAGCTGACCTGTCTGGCTAGTAATATAGTTGCGGTGAAGTAGATAAATTTCGCCAAATCTCTCCACTCATGAGAAGGTACTAATTGACAAGTTTGTGATCTTATGTATCCAAGAGGAAAGGGTGGCAATGAAAAGATACCACTTAACGCTACCCCACGGAGAAAGTATTATGCGCCGCCGACAAAGGAAGATATGGTGCAAATATTATTCAAGACCCGAATTATCACGTAAATCGAATCTGTCTCAGAATGCTGGTGAGCGTCATTCGAGATAAAGTTGAGGAAACTGGCTTAAGTTGGAGGTTCTCGGTGACTACACCTGTTCCTTCGATATGAAAATATCTAGTCTGATAGATATTTCCTAAGTGGCTGATGCAAGCGCTGTACGATCTGTCCACAGCGTTTTGTGTAAAGGATGACGTTCATTGCTTCTCGAGAGGAACACGATTATTTGCTTAACATATTTCTACAATGAGGCAATGAAATACCAAGCTAGAGCGTGAGCAGATCGAACTGCGCGACATGAAGGTGGTGCTTCACAGATACGTCCTGACTTTGGAAAGACTGAAACTAAAGCAATAGCAAATCG